ACATCCAGGTACGACGACTAAACGCGGTTACCAGGAAACTACAGGCAGGTCCGAAGAAGATCGTGTATCAAGCTATGACTCCAACAGGAGAAGTTGACCTGCATAGCGATTCTGGCTATCGCCGTCTCAATGGAGATGAAGACGACGAAGTCAAAGGCTATGGTATCCGCGGGGCTAACCTGCTGAGGCGTGGCCACACGCAAGCGGGGAAACCCGTCGTGCACCTGGTGGACGCATACTGCAAGTCTCATCGACTGCAGGTGCGTTCGAGCTACTCTGCGGAAACACTGGCAGCAGCCCACAACTTGGAAGACTGCTACCCGACCATTGTAACGCTCCACGAGCTACACTCGGGACCATTGACCCCCACACAGTTAAAGAACATATTGGAAATGGGTGGTCTATGTATCAAAGTCACTCTGACTATTGATGCCGAGTCTGTCTTCAAGTCTTTGTCTAGCAAAGATCTGAAGAAGCCCACAGAATGTACTCTGCTTGGGCACATTAGCTGGATCCGCCAGATGATGGAGCGCGGAATCGTTGAAAGCGTTCAATGGTGTGACACGCGGGATATGACTGCCGATGGTCATACCAAAGGTAGTATTGACCGCGCGTTGCTCCTACAAGTAATGGCCGGCCAGCAATCCTTCAAGCACGAGCTGAAGAAACATACACCGTATAGGGCGGGCAGGTCGTCTCAGGACGGCCCTGCCTCCCGAGCTAGCGGGGAAACCCGCGTGCAGGTGCGCTCTAGTAGCGAGGAAACTCGCCGGTAGCGAGGCTACTCGCGCGCCCTTGCCTTGTAGGCAGCCGCTGCTGCTTAGCACTGTTTTTCCGCGTAATGTAGAAGTGCGGTGCCTGCTCGTCTCCTCCCCCTCCGACTTTAAACGGAGAAGGTTAAAGGCGAGGTATAAATCGAGCATGTACCGCTGCCGTGCCTGGCTCAAGCCGGGCCCGGCCAAATATATGATTGTGCCTCGCCGAGGCGCACGACTGGTATCTGAGATCGGAAAATACCTTTTCCATAGAAGATGCCTCTTCTATCCTTTACTCCAGATCCCATGCTTCGTCTCGCTCTCTTGCTCATGCGATATGAGCCAAAGCCTGGGATATGGCAACGCTTGAAGCGTAACACATACCTAAGCTTACCAGCATGTTTTCGACTCCGTTGTCCGCTTCCAGTAGATTCGCAGGCATTCGTAGTTTCGCCTTCCAGCTGGAGGGCACCCCGCTCATCCAGTCAGTGCAGCATGTCAACGCACACCGCTTTGAAGGGGTCCTTGCCGAGTCAGAAGGAGGAGATCGGGCGTTCGCAGTTGCGAATGCGGTTGTGGATCGGCAGGCCAAGGTTGCCTTCGACCAACGCCCCAGCTCGACCCTTGAGTTTTTGTTTGATGTTGAGCTGGCGGCCCAACGGGCTCTTTGGGCTTCGAAAGTCGCTGCGGAGGTCCTGCCCCAGTTTCAGAGCGACGTTCGCTGGACTCGAGCCCACAAAGCCGCCTCTGGACTAACGCGTAGGCAAGCGACTTGGCGCGACCGGCAGGCTGGAGGGCTCGGATTAGAGTGTCGTTTTTGTCTCGCCCTCTATGAGGGAGATACTGGCCAGCTCTCGATGGACGGTTGCCCTGGTCTGCCCACTGCGGTGCAACATCTGCGCGTCAACCCGTCGGGGCGTGCCATTGCCGCCTGGGCTGGGACGCTTGCTCGGGAAACAGAGACTCCTGGTTCGTCGGTTTCCTCTCGACCTGCGGCCCGCGAGCAGCACATGGTTTGTTTCAAATGTGGAGGCTAAAATGTGGAGGTTGGTCCCAAGGACGAGCGTTGAAGCTCGGCCGAAATTGCGAGCCGCCGACGAGAAAGATATTAGAGGTCCTCGGGAGACTCCGTCAGGGCAGGTGCCCGAATCGTCGTGTGCAAGCGCTGCTTGAGGAAGCCGTGCCATTGTCTTTGCTAGCTGTTTCCGACGAAGGACCCCCAGTGCCCCGTCCGTTGTTCGGTCTCGATATCCGGCCTAGGATTCGGCCCCCTTCTATGGACAGAGAACGTCAGCGGTTGTTGAAGGAGCAGAGTGCTGCTGCTCTATCTCGGGGTTAGATGGGCCTCTAGAGTCGGTGTTCTCATCAAGTCCTGAGTGTCCGCCTTCCCCCCTTCGTCTTTTAGTGCTGTGCACTCCCATTTGGGAATCCATTTCATGTCATGTCCTCCTCCCCCTTCTCCTCCCTGCATCCTCCTCCGCCGCCTCCTCCGCCCCCTATTCCTTATAGATAATTTCTCCCTGTGGTGCCCCGAGGCCAGTTTTCAGGGCGGGCTGGGCGTTTCGCTTGGAATTTTCTCGTCAACTATGATCCTGAATATCAAATATTGGTAATCGCTTCGCGGATTGAGGGCGGCCCGTTTTCAAAATGTGGCTCTCGCCTTAGCGCCGCGCGCCTGCGTTTGAGCAGTTGCACGAATTTCGCGGATTGAGGGCGGTTCTTTTAAACATGTGGCTCTTGTCTGAGCGCCGCGCGCACATGTGCAAGTGTTTCACGGTTTCCCATGATCAGCGGACCAGGAATGGTGTTTTGGACGGAGTCAGGATTATAGGGGTGCAACAGCTACTTGCGTTTATTCGCGGTGCTGATATCCCCCCAATGGTGATCTAGTGCGATTCAGGATCGTCTAGACGCAGCAGTCAGGTTCATCCGCGGCGATGGAAACCCGAGAACAATGTTTTGGCATGCTTCAGGGTAATCACACGGTTGTCTTCTAACGAGGCAGCTCCGTCGGTGGAAATAAACCGGTGTAGGGGCCTATGAAGAGGGAGCTTGGAGGAAGGGTTTATTCTCACATCGTTGATGACTCCTGGGTTTTCACTGGTCCTCCTCCTCCTCCTCCTCCTCCTCCTTGTATGTCGTTGACGGCTGGGCAATGGGGTTTGAAGCTACCGCGCACGGCTGGGCCGCCCATGCATCCTTGTGGGTAAGGGTTCACCGCGCGGCCTCAGATATCGGGTATCACCTAATTAAGGTCACCAAGGTCCGTGGCCACTCCACCTCGGTTGGTAATGAGCAGGCCGACAGACTTGCTAACCTAGGTGCGGACCTACACTCTCAGGACACGGTCCTGCACGACTGAGTCAAGCGCTCTGGATTGCTTGTACGCAATCTTGGTGTTTATATCGGTCATTGTATAGCGTGGATCTTTAAGAATGTGCCCAAGAAGGTTGGGGCGGCGGATTCTGATGAGATTCCTGCCCCCTCGGTCCCGCCCCTAGTCCTCTCTGGTGCCTCCTCTGGGGCCTTGCATGAGGATTTCTGGGGCCCTTCGGTGGGCCGTTTCCGCTGTGTAAATTGTTGGGCTAGCTCGGTTTCCAAGAGCTACTTATTGCGATCTCAGTGCTCCTCTCCCACCGGCGGTGGGCACGTATTCAGGCGATTAAATAATATCATTTTTCGTCGCCGCTGTGGCCGCTACTCGTGTAAGAAGGTGGCTGATTTAACGAAATCCTGCACTGGCCCTCCACGAGCCCCTGGAACCATCCCACGGCTCCGCCGCATGTGTGATGGACGTGACCCCCGCACTGATCAACCAGTCGGCGATGTCACTGCCGTTGACAATGTCAACGTTATATATGCCTTTCCTGACCCTCATGATATCTTTAATTTCCAGGCTCTCTTTGATCCTGCATGGCTTCTAGAGCCCGCGTAGATGTCTTAGGGTTAACATAGGTGGAAGGTGGGGGGCGGTCCGACTCCTACGTTATCTATTTTGCATGCTGGCCCATCTAGGTTCCCGACACCAACCCGCCAGAAGTGTAGGTTGTAACACCAGGTTTGCCGACGCGTCTATGTTGTGCCAAATGTCATGCGCCGACACGTCTGTAGTCGGCTAGGCTTGGGGATAAGTGGGTACAGAGGCGCTGAGAAGCAGGCGCCCGTTCCGCCTGCGCCCACTCATCCCCTTGTATGCTGTTGTCACGCCTTCCCCCGCCCAGGCTCGCAAAGAGAAAGACTCTTGCTCCGCCTGCCGCGCGGGGCGACATCATGGCATGCCTCTCCTGATGCCAATCTCTCTGCCAGTCGAAATGTCTTTGTGCCGACACGTCAGGGCTCGTCGATTAGGCCTGGGGATGAGTGGGTGCAGAGGCGCTGAGAAGCAGGCACCCGTATCGCCTGCGCCCACTCATCCTCTCTTGTGTTGTTTTTCGCCTTTCCCCCGCCCAGGCCCGCAAAGAGAAGCGAAGAGAAAGACTCTTGCTCCGCCTGCCGCGCGGGGCGACATCATGGCATGCCTCTCTAGCTGATGCCACGAATCTCTCTGCCAGTCGAAATGTCCCTGTGCCGACGCGTCAGCGCTCGTCGATTAGGCCTGGGGATGAGTGGGTACAGAGGCGCTGAGAAGCAGGCACCCGTTCCGCCTGCGCCCACTCATCCTCTCTTGTGTTGTTTTTCGCCTTTCCCCAGCCCAGGCTCGCGAAGAGATAAAGGGCTCTCCGCTGCCTGGCTGCGTCACGTTTTGTTTGTATGCTGCCGCCTGGCCAGAGGTTGAGGCTGAAAGCCCAGGAGTCAGGACAGGGGCTCCGAATTTAATTGCCAGGTCTTGCCAGCATCGCTTGACGTCTCGGGCCTTCGATTTTTCGTTGTCTCTGTTTTCGGTTCGGTCCCTCGTTCGGCTCTGTCTGGGTCCTGGTCCGTCCCTCGTTTCTTTCGGCCCTCCCTTCGGGCCCCTCGCTCGTCGTTTCGGCGCCGCGGGCAGGAGTGTTCGGCAGACGATCACCCGAGCGCAAATCAAAATCAAAACCCCTCCTCCTCCTCCTCCTCCTCCTCCTCCTCCTTGCGTCATCCCCTTCCCCCTCCTCCTCCTCCTCCTCCTCCTCCTCCTCCTCCTCCTCCTTGCGTCCTCCCCCTTCTCCTCTTCCTCCTCCACCTCCTCCTCCTGCTCCTGCTCCTCCTCCCTCTCCCCGCTCTCCGTGCATCTGGGGCAGGAGAGCCCCCCCGGGCCGCCCCCGCTCCTGCCAGGAGCAGCCTTCGGCGAGCCCCCCGGGCTTGGAGGGGCGGGCCGCCGCGAAGTCCGGCCTGGCCTTTGTGGAGCTGCCCCCGGTGGGCCCGGGGCCCGTGCGAGCATCCTCCTCCTCCCTCCTCCTCCTCCTCCCTCCTCCTCCTCCTCCTCCTCCTCCTCCTCCTCCTCCTCCTCCTCCTCCTCCTCCTCGTCCTCTCCTCCTCCTCTTCGTTCTCTACTCCTCGTCCTCTACGTCCTTCTCCCCTCAAACTTCTGGTGGTGGTGGTGGTGGTGGAAAAAAGGGCCATCACTATCGGTCCGTCGGGCTCGGTCGGTTTCGGTTTCGACGTCGGCTCCGTCGGTTTTTTCGGTGCTGTTGGCGCGGGCGGGCTCCGGAGGCACCTTGGGCGACGGCTGGATGTCGGGGGCCCCCAAACGGTGCGGTGACCACACTGTGTGGTGGGTCGGTGGGGATTCGGGGTCACCGCACGGTTTTGGGACGCGGGTCGTTCTCCGAGGGCGTCTCGGGCGACAGGGGCCTCCAGGGTCCCAGAACCGGGCGTTGACGGACCGTGCGGTGAGGTCTCTTGGGGTTCCGAGGTCACCGCACGGTCTGTCACCGCACCGCTTCGGGACGCCAACTAACATTTGGAGTTCCCCTAACTCAGAGGAGGAGAATATACCCATACCTTCATCTTTCGTCAGTTTTCCCCTTTTTCGGCATCCTGGGGGCCCTCGTCGCCACCGCTGGATTCGCTTCGAAATCCTGGTCAGAGCGCACCCAGGAGAGGTCCTGGGAGTGTGGTATTGGTACTTGGTGGTCTCCCCACAACTGGTGTGTAGGACGGGGCTAGGACGAGGACAATTCTGTTCCAGAGTGTTGCTGGAACGCTCTCAGAGCGTCCTGGAACGCTCTGAGAAGGCCGCGGCGCCCGAGACATCCTCTAGAGCTGCCAGATCTCAGAGATTATCGATGTATCCTCGCCCAGATTTATCCTCGTCCAAGCTTCGTCTTACATCGGGTGTCCCTCAACTGTGCGGTGACCACACCGTCCGCCCAACAGCCGACGATCTCTCTGGGCCTCCTAGGTGGGGTTCGAGTAGATGGTGTCGGAGGATCGCGCCGCATCGCCGATGCGGCTCGATGTGGAGCCCGATTTACTCCACGTCGACGGCGCCGATGCTTCGACGTCGCCGATGCATCGCCGATGCATCGGCGATGCATCGGCGATGCATCGCCTGTATCGGCGATGCGGTGATTTTTTCCGATCCCATATGCTCGGACCCTATCTAGGAGGCCTCTGGATGTTAATCGTTCTTCTTTTTTTAGGCTCGGTATGCAAGCCTTCTGCGGTCCCCCCCCCGGTCAGACTGGACTCGGCAAGAACGGCTGTTTGGCGGTCTTCCTTTTCGCCAGCTCGCGCACGCCTGCGGCGAAGGGGAGAGGGAGAGGGGAACGGAAATACTGTACCGACTGTGTGCGCCACTCCCTTCTTTTGGGGCCGGCGCCAGTGACACGAGAGTTCTTCCCTACCTAGGCTCTGCCTAGAAGGGTTCTTACTCGCTTGGCTTTAAGGGGCTGGGCAGTGCAAACCGCCCCGGGCGGTTCCTCCAGTCCCCTGGGAGCCAAGCAAAAGCAACAGCAAAGGTAAAAGCAAACGCGCGGTCCCCCCCGTTGCGCTTCCTGGGTGCCAAGCAAAAGCAAAAGCAAAGGCAAAAATGAAGGCAAAAGCGAAGGCAAAGCAAAAGCATATCATAGCATAGCATAACATAGCATAGCGCAGCATAGCATAGCGCAGCATAGCATAGCCTAGCATACCATAGCCTAGCCTAGCCTAGCCCAGCATAGCATTGCGCAGCATAGCATAGCATAGCATAGCATAGCATAGCATAGCATATCATAGCATAGCATAGCATAGCATAGCATAGCATAGCGCAGCAGGGCATCCACTATCGCTGCTGCTATACATATATATATATACACATTCCTAGAGGCTCCAACTCCTAGGTAGGGTCGCACTGGGATTATTTTGTTTTCAGAATCAAAGGGGTCTCTTGGACCTGCGCTGGGCCCCCTGGAGGCGCCAACCTGCACAGCAAGGTGCGGATTCACTATCGGGGGCCTATCGCCGATCTATCGGTGACGTATCGCCGATTCCAGGTCGATGCATCCCTATGCCAGTCCCTCTTATCGGTGCCCTTCAGCCCTGGCACAAGGTGGCTCAGCTCTGAGAGCTTATTGTAGTCGCCTTCGGCCAGTGCCGCCGATCCGGGTCGCATGGGGTGCCCCCCAGACTGGGCGGCGACAGTTCGCCGACAGACACGCACGCACACGCTCGCAGACATTACGCACACACACACACACACACGCACACACACACACACACACGCACACACACATACACCACACACACCACACACACACCACACACGCACACACGCACACGCACACGCACACGCACACGCACACGCACACGCACACGCACACGCACACGCACACGCACACGCACACGCACACGCACACTCACACGCACACGCGCACGCGCACGCGCACGCGCACGCGCACGCGCACGCACACGCGCACGCACACGCACACGCACACACACACACACACCACACGCACACACGCACACACACACACGCACACGCACACACGCACACACGCACACACACATTACACACACTACAGGCACTACACACGTGCACACACGCACACCACCACCTTCGCAGGCACATACCCACGCGCGCGCCTGCAACGCACACATGCACACACCACGCGCGCGGCGCAAACACACACGCACCCCGCACAACAGACACGCATTTGAAAACAGCCTTCGTCTTCCCCCCGTTTGCTCCCCGTTTTCCGCCCTCACCCCGTTCCACCTCTCTCTCCTTCTCTCCCCGACTCCCTTCTCGCGCACGCGGACAAACATTACTCCGCGCACACGCGCGCCCTCCCTCCCCCTCCGTCCCCGGCAGAGCCACCCAGGCCCCCCCCCCCCTGTGCTGAAGCCCAGCCCCGAGGCTGTAGCCGAGGTCCCTTCCAACTCACACACGCCGCGGACCTCCTCCTCCTCCTCCTCCTCCTCCTCCTCCTCCTTCCCCTTACCCACGCCCTCGGAACCCACGCCACCGGACTCCCCCCCTCTTCCCCCAATCCCCCCTGCCCACAGGCGGGACGGGGGACCGGACTCCCCCCCCCCCTCCACGCCATCGGAACCCACTCCGCCGGACCCCCCCCCCCTACCCCGGCAGAGCCATCCCGGCCACCGAACCCCCCGTCCCCCTCTTCCTCTCCAATTCCCCTTGTCCACAGGCGGGACCGGGGACTGGACCCTTCCCCCACGCCACTGGAACCCACGCCACCGGACCCCCCGCCCCCAGACCCCGTCGTCTTCGTCCGTCCGTTGTCGTCCGTCGTCCGTCGTTTTGTCCGTCGTCTGTCGTCCGCCGTCCGTCGTCGTAGCCGTAGCCGCCGCCGTCTTCGTCGTCGTCGTCGTCGTCGTCGTCGTCGTCTGACTTCTCTTTATTCTTCCTCATCCTCCTCCTTCACTTTTGGACGTTGGATTCTCGGAGGCCTCCAGAGGCCTCTTGAGACCTCCCGAGGTCTTCCGGGGACCTCCAGGGACTTTGGAGATCTTCTTGAGGCGTCGTCCTCGTCCGTGCTTTCTTCGTCGTCGTCGCCCCTCTCCGCATTCTCTGGCTGGGTCGATGTAGAAAAATCAGGGGTCGAATGTCGGGTTGGAAAGTGTCTGAAATGACGGAGAGGCGCGTGCGTGCCCAGACTCGTATCGTGAGCATTGTTGAAACCTGACAAAGGTCGTGCTTGAGCATTCAGTCGCCAGTGTATGCTGTAGATGATGTTTGCCGGCGTGAAGCCCGCCGAACAGGAAAGTATTGCCAGGACACAGCCCGTCCAACCCGAGTAATATAGCCCGTCCAGCCGGGGTCTAGAATTCGCCCCCCCCCCCCTCCCCTCGCCGCTCACCCAGCAGGTGGAGGTGGACCCTGGGCTCGGCAAGAAGGCTGGCGGCCGCGACGGCACGTCGTGGGTGCTGGGCCCGCGGCTGGGTCGTTCTCCGAGGCCGCGGCTCCGCTGCTGTCTTGCGCTCGGGCACCCTGCCGCCTCCGTGGTGGTCGGAGGGCGATGGCGAGTAAGCTTTTCCGCCGTCGGGGGCGCCAGGGCGGCGCAGTCGCTGTTGCCCCTTGGCGGCGGCATGCGGGGGCAGGCGCTCTCCAGCTGTCCTGGGACAGGCGTCCCCGACGACGGAGAAGTTTGGCATGTGCGGATCCTCGTCCGCTCAACCTTCGGACGCCCTCCCCGGGAGCCTTCGGAGGCCTCCGGGGGCCTGCGCTGGGACCCCTGGGGGCTTCGGGGACCCCGAACTGGGGTGATGGAGATCCCTGGAGACCTCCAGGGAGGAGGAGGAGGAGGAAGAGGAGGAGGATGAGGAGGAGGAGGGGAAAGAGAAGGAGGAGAAGGACGAGGAGGAGGAGGAGGTGGATTATCGATCGATCGATCGAGCTCTGGGGTCGATGTCTGCTTTGAAGCCTAGTCTAAGGTAAGCCGCTTACAACAATTGTTTCTACCTCGGCCTAGCTGGGGTCACTTTACTGAGAGGGGGAAGCATACGCCACGAGTGCGCTCTGGCCCTACCTGCACCGACCTCCCCACGCAGGGGTCCGCGGGCAGGGTAGCTCCCGCTTTATGGATGCCCTCTCGCCTGCAGCCCCTCGCTCTTGCGACGTCTCTCTTACCCTGACCCTTACTGTTAGATTCGGGGGGGGGGTCGGTGCGTCACTAAATACTTCGGACAGTTTTTGTCCCTGTAGCTTGAAAACTTTGTGGGGCTGCATGCTCACTAGGTGGAATCATTTCTGCATTCACAGGCTCACAAAATCTGGTACTGTTCTTAAAAACTCGTGGCACTACTTGAGGGAGGGAGGCACTGGGAATCGAGCGAAGCTGTACTGTATAGGCCTCACTGTCGTGTCCGCTTAGCTGTTCACCATTCTGCCGACCTCCCCTCTCTGTGCTCACCTCGGTGTCGCCCCTTCTTTGCGAATAGCTCCCTCCCTGCATAGCTGGCCCACCAGTATCGTCTCTATTTGTTGGAGGTTGTAGTGGATCTGAAATTGGGACCTGCTCTTCTCCGCTGTGACTCCACCTGCCTTGGCCCTGTTGCACTTGACCCTGAACTCTGGCGCGCCGCCTGCGAACTTCTCCTCGTTGCCCTGCTGCACGAATCCCTGTACGTACTGCTCGATGGTCTTCCTGGCTGTGCCATCCTCTAGCATCCTGTCGATGTCCGTCACTTTTTCACGTGTGGGCCTCCCAGAGAGGTTGCGTCTCCTGCTTCGTGTTGCGTTCTGCGTCGTACATCCTGGGCCGCGCCATTGCACTTCTTGCCTCCAGCCAGCCCCGACGCGGCGAGAGTATCGATCTCCCCAGTCCGTAGTACTGCCTCTTCCAACTCCGCCTGCTCTCTTGCCGGTGTGCGGGTGAGGCACTCCGTGAGGTTCTCTGTCTGGGCGTTGGGCGCCACGGCTCCGACTGCTCCATCTCCTTCTGGCCTGCGTGGTTGTCGGCTACAAATCTGGTCCCGCGGGTCCTGCTGGTGCCGTTGGCGCCCCCCACTGCGGCCTCTGGTCGAGTAGCGTCGTCATCGTCTTCTGGTTCCCGAAGGATCCTCCGAGGTAATTGTGTGTGCATAAGTGTCTGATGCAGCTTCTCTTGTCCAGAGCAAATGACTACAGATCCGGCACGCTGGCCCGTGTGGTGACGCTTGGCTTTGATCCTACAGGCTTACGCCACATTCGCCGACCCCTTGATCCAGTCCGGGACCTTCTATTGCTGTCCTGAGGCCTTTGTGTGTCGATGCTCGGGGCCGCAGGGGCGAACAGGATGAGTAGGGGCATGTGGAGGTGGAGGAGGAGGAGGAGGGGGCGGAGGACAAGCTAGGTGCGCTCGCGTCATGTCTGACATCCTACCCCTCCCTCCCATACCTTACCATGGCGTAGATCCCCTCTCTACTCGCACAGTCGGATGTTGAGCAGGGCAATAATCCCGAAAGGATACGCGATGCATTGTACAGCACGGCATGGCATGGCGTAGAAGAGCACCGCAAAGCGTAGTACGTCACAGCATGGCGTGGCGTGGCGTAGTGAAGAATTGCATCACAAAGCTTTGCAACGCAAAGCATGGCATCGCACAGCGGCCCCGAACATAACATTGCATAGTATGGCGTTGAAGATCAAAGCGTAGCATGGCATAGCATGACGTGGCACTTACGCACTGTGTTTGACAGCTGCAGCTAAAGGCATGGCATCGCGCAGCGGAACGCAACCTAGCATTGCATTGCATGCCGTGGCATGGCACGGGAAATGACGCCAGCGCTGCAGCGGGAGCACCATTCGGAACGAGCGGAAGCGCGGAAATGAGGCCAGCGTTGCAGCGGGAGCACGATTCGGAACGATCGGAAGCACGGAAATGAGGCCAGCGCTGCAGCAGGAGCACGATTCGGAACGAGCGGAAGCCCAAAAATGAAGCCCGCGCCTCAGCGATAGCATCATTTTGAAAAAAACCCAAGCGAAAACCCAACACCCGGAAAGACTGTGTGTAAAAAACAGTACGCGGAGGGGTGCCCGCCATCTTCCGCACGCCATCAGGGGATGGAGGAGAGTAGTATTCATATTGTGTAATGATGGAGGGGGCGGAGGAGGAGGAGGAGGAAAGATGGAGGAGGAAAAGTGAGGATCTGGTCTGCGGGCGTGAGCTTAGACCTCTGGAGGCCGTCCGGAACGATCCCGGCACCCCCAGAAAGCATGGTTCTACTTTGAATCTGGAGGCAGCGTGCGGGTACCCGGACAGCGAACGGGGTTGTGGGTGTGAGGCCACTCGGATGGCTTATGGGGTCTCGTGGGAGGGCTCTTGGGGGCGTCTTGGAGCCAGTTTTTGGACCTCCTGGGGAGGCCTTTTTGGGGATCTCTTGGGGTTCCTGGGGGGGCCCTTGGGGCTTCTTTTGGGTGTTTCTTGGGAACACCTGGGGGCGTCTTGGGGCCGACGGGTCGAAATCTCCGGTCGGGTTCTGCTCCTCGGCCCTTTCTTGGGGCCGTCCTGGGGCCCTCCTCGGCCGGCTCGGGGGTTTCTTTGGCCGTCTTGGGCCGCCTTGGGGCCATCTTGGGCCGTCCCGGGGCCTTCGTGGAGGCCTCCTGGCCCGGTTAGGACGTGGCGAAAGCCCCAGGGGCGAAGCTGCTCAGAAAAAAATGCACGTTTTCCGGAGGGGAGGGGGCGATTTTGGCTCCGGACGGCCCTCGGGGGGACGCTGTCGGGGCTTCTCAGGCCATCCAGGAATCACCGCCCACCAAACCACCCCAACCCAACCCGAAGGTCCCGATTTGCCCTCCATTTCCAGTGGGGGGGGGTCGGGGAACATGGGAAAAACACATATGAAGCCCGTACCCCCCCCAACCCGAAATTCGGGTTTCGGGTTGGGTTGGGGTGGTCTGGTAGGCAGTCCGGGAAGCGTGCTGAGCAGTGCGGGGGCCCTCCTGGGCGGCCTGGAGCGATGCTCCGGCGAGTCGGGGCCTCTGCGAGGGCCTCGGGGGCCGCCTTGGCGCTCCAGAGGGGTCGAGCCCAGGGAGGGCCGGAGCCCCCCGGGATGAGTTCGGCGGGGGGCCGTCCCAGGCCTGGGGGTGTGGGTGTGAAAAATTGCCGGTGTTGGGGTTCCGGGGGGGGACTGTAGGGGGGAGCAGTTTCGCACGCCTGGAGAGGCCTACAGGGGGTTGTCGGATCTCGTGTCCTGTCCCCGTTCCGGTAATTATCCCCTCGTTATGCCGCTAGCCAGATGTTTCCACGCCGTACCTCTGCACGCGAAGACCTGGCCACAATTGATGCATTCGTTATTTGATGTTAGATCCGCTGTACAATTATGTACATGATGGTATCGCATAATACGGTTGTGTAACGCTTTCTTTCTGGAAAACAGCAGTCCACATTCAGATCCTTCGTTCAGTAGTTCATTTCCATGGTTGGAATTCTTGCAGGGCTAGCTCTTCTCGTCGTTCATAGTTTTCGTCCTTCTTGCAGCTGGTACTGCAGCAGGTAGCTTAGCAGATCTTACTTCGCGGACGTCTAGTAGATGCGGTGGTCCATGTACCCTTAGCGTACACATTTGCGGACCTATATTTCTTCACCGAAGATCTGGCAACTCTCCGATATCTCGCATGCGTGTTTGATGCCATTCACGAATCGTTTGGCCAAGGGGTTCGTGTCGCTCCGAAGTTCCTCTGAGGTATCTCCGTCTGTCGGTGTTTCGAACTCGATTCGGCCGAACATCGCGACCATGAGCTGGCGGTGGTTCTTGGGGAAGCGGAGTATATTTCTGGCCCATCCAAGGCGTCGTACCAGTGCCTCCTCCGCAGGTGGCAGTATCTGCCAGTAGCGAAAGACTTCCAATGTAGAAAGGCTGCGCACACTGCCATCGGGCCAACAGGTAGTAGCTCCTTCTCGCATTGCCCGTCTAAGTGGTCGGGGGTGGAAAGAACCCCCACCCTGGCACGTCGAGTAGTGAATTGTCCGTTTTCGGTTCTCGAGAGGGCGTCGCGGCCGTCATTTTCCAGGCTCGCGCACGCCAGGTTTGGGCCCGAGGTTGTTTTCACTAAACCACGTTTTTCAGGAAGGAAGAAACACACAGACACAACTAATCTTTGACTTCCTGGAAAATATGGGAAAATATGGGAAGTGGGGGGGAAGACGAAAGCCCAGAACATATGGAAAACATGGGGAATCTTTTTATTTGTGTGTATTTATTTGTGTGTCCCAGGGCCCCTTCAGTTTTACGAAGCGGTGTTCTGTCCATACCCGAAGTATGGCTCACATCGCACTTTTGCAGCTGCTGGTATGCTCGCTCGGCGTGGGGAGGAGACACTCTCAGTGCACGACAGTCCTGTGTTCTACAAACCTGTGAATCAGCACTCCTCCTCCTCCTCCTGCTCGCTTCCATCCATATGGTATTCCTGTTTTGGTCCAGAAGCCGCCGCGCTCGTTGTGGCTCTTCTTCACGGCCCGCACGCGCTTCTGCAAAGCCCGGTGGGGCAGCTTTGCTTGGCCGTGGTTTACGGGCCCAGGTGCTTTGCCACTTCGAGTACTTTGCCTGTAATCATGTAGTCTTCTTTCTTTTTTAGATCGCGGTGTGCTTGTGCCGTCCCAGTTCCTTGAAACAGTACCATGTTCTCTCGTTTGCCATGATTATGCTTGAGATCTATCTCGGTCAATCTGATGTTCAACTTCTCGTCTAACAGCTTGGCCTTTGCAACCAGGTCCTTCGCGTTGGCTTCTTTTTTCCCTAGGATCTGTTTTCTGAGGTCGTCCGCGTAGTTGGTGAGGCCCATGT